TCTCTGTCTCTTGAAAACTGACTCCTGCACTCCAGTTTGGAAGACTAGTCATTGCTCAAGTGCATTTTGGGATTACTAAATTGAGATCCTAATTAGTCTTTCTTTGATTGTGAGTAACTTTTATAAATGAACAGCACTATCATAAGCTAATGGCTATATTAGGACCAGGACATAGGATGCTGTAGGTAATTTATCTTACTTGAGAGGAATTTAACTCAGATGCTCTGGTAAAGCTTCATGAATTTGGAGACAGATGCATTCAGACAAACAGCAGAGGGACCTAAAGGCTGCAGGACACTTTTGAGTGCCAAGAACTGGCTTTTGACCACTGACCCCTTCATTGAAGCAGTGCCAGTGTCTCCACTCATTTTACTTTTTTATTTTTTGTTGTCACTCAAGTATTCACTGAATAAATGTGCTTCTGTTGGAAAACAAGCAGCTGAGTAAATAGGTTGACAGTTCATGATCTACAACAGAATACATTAGCAAAATTTTAATATTATTACTGACTCATAGTTATAGTTCAATAAGCCATTTACCTCAAACTAAGTAATTGTTAAATAAACAAAACAGGAAGCTAAAAAAAGGACATAAAGAAGCTGCATCAAGGAAAAGCAACAAGAAAAACACTTTATTTTTTAGTATGCTTGCTAGAGCCTTTTTAAATCTATCTAAATCAAAAAATAAGCAGCTCAAAACTTTTAAAGTACAATAGAAAGGGAAACCATGCACATAGCTGCTAAGCCTTTGTTTTTGCAGGCATGTCTGGTTTTGTCATTTGCAGAATCATATTTGCTGTGAACAAAGGCTTCCCAATTGTCATATGAAGTTGACTAGGAAGCTATCCTGCAGCTAGAGAGGTATCAAATATTAATATTTGTGCTCATGTAGCCAAAGATGTGTCAAGTCTGGATGTAGCTGCAGTCTCTTGTACAAACCAAATACAATTTAAAAATTACAGTGATAAATCAGTGCAGTATGTTTTGTCAATAACTGATCCTAGGTAAAATCGGATACATCCTCTGAGTCTAAGATACAGCCAGGTGAAGTGGAGACAATTGTGTTTACCAAGCAAGAAAATTTCTTCTTAAAAAAAAAAAAAATGAAGAAGTTTTTTTTCAAGTTCAGAGTAGGAGGCAGCAGGGGATTTTCTTTGTTAAAGGCATAAATACATAGGCATAGATTATTCACTCTGTATTTTAAATATGAGGCTTCCCAGGTTTTCGTGAGCTGTTGTTTAATGAATGAGTTAAAATTAAGTTGTGGTTTGTACCACAGAGCAGCTAGATGATGTTCTGCAAGCCTTGAAGTATGGAATGCATCAAAACGGTTTCTTCTTTCATTTTGGGCAAATAATGGTCATAAGAAGTCAGTGCCTGGAGAACATTAAACATTGTCTGTCCTTCCCATAATTATATACAAGTTCCCCAGTGGCTCTGACACAACCTTAATTTTCAAAACTGAGACTTATGCTTGGATTCCTTCTCTCAAAAGAGGGCTGCAACAGCAGGACATATGTTGCCCTTTTATCTTTTGTAAGACACAGAAATCAGAGGGGAGTTCACTGCTTGTCAGGAAATCCTTCCTCCACCTTCCCAGGCTAAAAGAGTGCTCAGGCAGCAATATGTAAATATTGTGTGCTCACCTCATGATCCGCCACTTACCTTTTGGCTTTTATGTGCACGGGCCATTAAGATTTGAAGTTTTGATGATCCCCTATAAGCTCTGGTTTTTTTAAAAATGAGATTGTCATTCTTCCTGTAGTGTAACCATGGAAACAGACAGGGAACCCTTAAAGAAAGTGATCGAACATGCTGTGCTAATTAATCCTACCCTTCAGTTTTCTTTCAGTTGAAGGATGTGCTTAAATAAATTTTGCATGAGTAAGCATATTTGGATATGCAAAGGGGTATAAAATATGTAGCAAGTTTTCTTGCAGAAGGATATCTGGAAAAACCCTGGTAACTGTCATCTATATGTATCTGGACCATCCAAACAAGAAATGCAGTATCTTGGTGTTTCAAATATACATTTTGATAGCATTCTTTTTGCTCTAATCTTTCAGATTAGAGTATTTTTTTCATATCTCATGTGTAATGAGATACATTTGCATTAATTTTGAGTGAAAGTGTTCATTATTGCTAAATGCATTCTTTATGCAGAGCAGAGAATTATTCAGAAAAAGCAAAGGTTGCTCCCTCCCTGTGAGAAAGCAGCTTCTCTGAGGCATTAGCCTGATTCAGGTTCTGTCAGTCCTGCACAAGGGGAGTGAGTGACTGACTGAACAATGGGACTGTGTCAAATTTTCCCCTTCCAAATTTTAGCTTTTGTAAGTATTTTGCTTGGTTTTCACTCCTGCTTTCCATGTTCCCTTTTACTTTCCTAATCAGTGTATGTTGCCAATTGGGAAACCAGTTGGCCACAACTTAAAACATGTAGCCTGTACTCATAAACCTTTTGTTATGGTTTAACTCAAACTAGAACACCTCTTAACCTGGTGGTGCTATCTGATTCCAATGTAGGGTCTGAGCTTGTTTTTACAAATTAAGATTTTGTTTAAATGTTTCTCAATTCCATTAATGATCCTCTTATAACTGAGAAACCAGGTGCAGTGGTCAACCTCAAATGAAACTTTTATAGTGTTTGGGAATGAAGAATGGATTAAAGAAAAACATTCAGTTGTCCAGCAGGCTGGGACTAGCCCAGAAGGACCATTCTTTGAAAATAAGATGGATTTTCATTAATCTGGAATGGATTAGAGGTGGAGGAGATCTAGAAGCAGTAGACTGAGGAAACTTCATGGGTGGCATTTCCAGCAGGAGGGGAGGACTGGTTCTATGCCAAACAGTCGCAGGAGAGGAGGAAAGGTGTGCTTTGGCTGACTATAATCCCTTCAGAGCTTCATCCTTGTCAGTAAAGTGGCAGAAGCCAGTTGGTAACCATGGTTATGGTATTATTATTTGCAACATGATTTCTGGTATGGAAAGTTGGATACTCCTTTCTCTCTACATGGAAGATTTCAGGAATGTATGGATGAATGGCTTTGTGTCGTGAAAATTTGAGTTTGTCATCCTACAAGCTCTAAAGTTTTTTGACAGTTTTCCCTGAAATACATGATGTGGCCTCTTCAAGGGGCCTTTCTCCTACCTTAGTTATGCCTCTTCTCCTAGGAAAACTTGGTAGAAGATTAGAATTTGCAAACAAATTTAGTCTTCCTCAGACAAAACCAATGGGGAGGGCTCAGAAAGGGAAAAAGGATGGAATCATTCACCATCCAGACTTCTCAAGCCCTTTCATAATTTTTATATTGCTTAGTAGTACTTGGTCCATATCACAAATATGGTGGATATCCTGGTCTAGATCCAGTAGCAGGGAATACAGTTTCAGTTTAGTCACATAGAATATTGATGCACAGAAACTCAGTTAATGGTTCTGTGTACCAGGAATAGGAACTGCTCATCAGTTAGAGCTGTTGGTGGTTGCTGATTTCCTAGAAGAAAAAACCTTAATCTGGAGGCAGAGACACTGTGGAACACATGATGTAACCTCTCCTCTTTGGGGCTGTACCTGGCCAACCCTGGATTGTCTTTGTAAGCCAAATTGTTCATCAAGCTGATGGACAGGTGAACAAACCTTAAAGAAATGGAGGTCTGCAAATTTAAAAAATAGGTATTCATGTTTCAAATGCAATTTTTAAAAGAATAGATCATTGCATACAATTCAAATTATTCCCCTGCACTGGTCTAATTGCTATAATCAGCTGATAATGCAATCTGCTGGCAAGATTGGCCATCATTGCTATGGAGATATATTCACTGACAGTAAATATTCATAAATAGCTTTTCTAGCATATTAAGAAGAAAGGGGCAAAGGACTCTCTTTAGCACTCTTTCAGGAATTCTCATGTTGCTTATTTCTTTCTGAGTGTATGACTTTGCTTCTTTGTTTCTGTAAGGTGTAAAACATGCATTTCTGTTATAGTAATTCCATTTATTTTCTGAAAGGAAAGCCAGTAGTTCAGGAAGCACCCAGTACTGCATTCTCCTGATTTCCATTACTGGACATGCAATGTCCAGTGTTCCCAGCAAGGAAGTGGATGTTCTCAAGGCAGTAGTTAGGATCAGCTAATTTAGAAAAAGCATTTTCAGGCCCATGATAGGAAGAGTCACTTTAGCCCTGAAGGTCTTTTTCCATTTCTGGAGGAGAGTCCTCTATAGGAGAAACATACTTGTAAACTTCTCGGTTTAGCATATGATGATCGCTCTTTTACATAGATTGTGTAGTAACATGAATTATTTTAAATGACTGACAGGCTTAAAATACAATTATTGTAAATATATCTTTGGTAGGCCACAGATTTTATTGAAATGATTTCTGAAATTGGAGCCCTGCCAATATGCAATTCTTGAGAGATAGGAATTTTTCACATACCATTTTCTGCTGTATTGCTGCAATATTAATATTTATTTGAATGGTAATGTGTAAGTGTGTCTACAGCTTTCAAACGAAAACTTGAATAAGCAGGCTGGGCTTTGCAGTGCAAGCTGTTGAAGGTTTCCTGGGCTTCCCTAAGAAGCTGAATCTCATCTGTGTCATCATTTGTCTGGGAGTTTCTTTTTCATTTTCTTTTTCTAAATAAAACTGAAATGGAAGACTATTCATGCCTCAGGATGAGCAGTTAATGGCAATTAAAATCTTTGTTTATTTGTCTTTTATTTAGGTATAACACTTTATATCTTTGCATCTCTTCTGGGCCTGTGGTTGTCATTATGAAAAACATATTTTATTATCCCTTCATAATATTCACAGATCTATTTAGCCAGGTACTTAATGATAGATGCTACCATTAAGTAAAGTACTCCAGTTCTGGAATAAAAACACTTTTGCAACATGCATGTCACGTTATGTGATAGGTGTTCATATATCCTTTTAGATTGTAACTGTACAGCAAACTATTTCTTGGCTTTGTTGACATTAATTTATTTGTGTTTACCCCACAGGTCTTGCAAGAGCTAAATCAGTTCCTAGTCATACATATTCCAATGAAGTGGTAACCCTATGGTACAGGCCTCCAGATGTCCTTCTGGGATCAACAGAATATTCCACCTGCCTTGACATGTGGTAAGTGTAGATGAAAAGACTCTATGTAGGTGCTTTAGCTCTTGGTTTTTTAAGACATGTAAACCAAATATGCAGTGGGATCATTGGTACAGGTTAAAAACATGCGTGTAGTGATATGTGTGGTTCATGCAGTATTTCCCTGAAGGAATCCCCTCCTGCCACCCCACTGGCTGGCAGCTGCTACCAGCTGTTGACACAGAAGTCACAGAATCAATAGGTTGGAAAAGACCTTCAAGATCATTGAGTCCAACCCATGCCCTCACACCTCAACTAAACCATGGCACTGAGTGCCACATCCAGTATTTTTTTAAACACATCCAGGGATGGTGGCTCCACCACCTCCCCAGGCAGACAATTCTAGTACTTTATGACTCTTTCTGTGAAAAACTTTTTCCTGATATCCAACCTATATTTCCCTTGACACAGCTTGAGACTGTGTCCTCTGGTTCTGTCAGTTGCTGCCTGGAGGTAGAGACCAACCCCCACCTGACCACAAGCACCTTTAGGGGAGTTGTAGAGAGTGACAAGGTCACCCCTGAGTCTCCTTTTCTCCAGGCTAAACAGCCCCAGCTCCCTCAGCCGTTCCTCACAGGGTTTGTGTCCAAGCCCCTCACCAGCCTCACTGCACTCATCTGGATGTGCTCAAGCATCTCAATGTCCTTCCCAAACTGAGGGGCCAGAACTGGACACAGCACTCACGGTGTGGCCCCAACAGTGCTGAGGACAGGGGAAGGATGCTCCTGCTCCTGCTGGCCACACCATTCCTGATACAGGCCAGGATGCCCTTGGTGCTTTGCAAGAGACTGTAGTCTGACTTCTGTAGCCTTATTGTGTGGCACTTCCCTATGGTGTGAAACTTGTTTTGCAAAAGGTAGACTTACACCATGGCCACTTGTAGCAAGGAGAAAACCAGAATTCTCTGGTTGTGAGCATAAAACCTCAGTTCTTAAGCTACTGTATTTGGTAGCAGTAAATATTGTTGAATAGTTTTCTTTCAAACCTACAGATTTTATTTAGACTTGCAGGTATAGAAGATTAGTTTGATTTGCATAATATATATCACCTTGCTCATTTTTTATTACATAATTTAGTCCTGTGTTGAGCAAGGAACAAGGAAGGTATTTGTTTTTTTGACTATTAAAACCAAGCTGGAACACCTTAAATTATTTTGTAGTTTTTGAGGTGATAGGATCTCTGTAATCTGTACAAATTCTGAAATATGGAAAAAAAAAATCCTCTTCCTTACAAGGAAAGGAAGATGCTCTGGAATATATTTGGGTTTTATTTGATTTCTTGTTTGCTTTGAGGTTTTTTTGATTGGTTGGGTTTTGGATTTTTTAATGCATGTTTGACTTTTTAAACCTTCACAACTCATTCATTTGAGAAAAAATTCTACTGAGGAATTTTCAGAAAAGTACAGTAATTTTTTTGTAGTTCACTGAAATATCTTTCTTTAATACAGGCAAACCAAAGTTATAATTATGATAATATTAAAATCTAGGGGTAACTGTAAGATAAGGTTAAAAGCACCTTATGTTTTCATATGGTATGTGAACAATATTTTTAAGGTAATCTTGCAGTGTAGTGTTGACACTGAAGACCTAGTAGGAAAGTTTTTTGGCTGGGGAAGGGAACTAAACATGAGGTTGTATTTAGTCCCGTAGCTGAAATCAGAGATTATGGGATAAAACCAGGTTTTCTATAGTCACCTCTTTTCCAAGTAATACCTCAGGTGCCCTCAGAAAGAAGCTCAGCTTGCTTGGCGTGAAGCAAGACAGCTGACTCAGAGAATGGAAATAGCTGGGAGAGATAAATTATCCTTTCTGCTCACCTTCCCATAGTTCCCTCGACATTTATTCAGTTCATGAGCCCCGTGTATTCCTGTACATCTGCACACACATGAGTCAACTTGTAAATTAGAGACAACATACAGAAATGACTAAAGAAAAATTTTAATGCTTTAATATGGCAAACTACTCAAAAAGCACTTTAAAATGCTTTCTTTTAGTTAAAAGCAATATTGGAAATTTATTTTTTTACTTTTCCCAATTAAAAAAAAACACTGCACTGTGAAACTGAACAAAGGATTTAAAAACATGTTTTATTGATGCTTTAATTTTTTCCATAAATAAAAATGGTTTTCTCCAAAGCTTGTGAAAAATAGATCTTTTAACATTCCCCCCAAAAATGATTTTAGTAAAGAGGTATTAGAAGATCCAACCAAAATATGTGGTGCTGCTGTAATAAAGATTAAGTCATGTAGCTAATTAAAAGCATTTAAAAGCTACTACATCTGCAGACTGAGCATGTCCTTCATAATTGTATCTTTACATTCAAATTACATGGACAGCAGGGAGATCAAGGAAGGACTTTAAATGCTACTTCAGCAATCCAGGTCATTATTTTGTTTTCTGACAAAAAGGACTTGAGTATTGGGGAAGAACACAGTAGTTGCATCTTCAATGATATCAATAAATGATGTTCTCTTGCACAGAGTATTTCATAAAGGCCTAAAAAAAAATCCTGGTGCTCAGGGATCAGAGGTGTGTGTTCTGTTGCAAATGAAAAACAATGTCAAATTCCTCTTGTACTCTATTTGTAGCCCTTACAATATTTTTTCTGCCCTGAACAAACTGAAGAACTATGAAGAGCTTAGGAAAAAGAGATCTAGTAATACAGTTTCTTTCACGTGGCAGCAATTTGTACAGGGGCTCAGCCACGTCGGAAATCGGATGAGAGCAAATGTGAACTGTGTGTGACAGAAGAGCTGTAGATTTTTACTTCTGTGCTTTGCTGGCTTGCCTGAGACAGCAGTTCCAGTTTGATTGTGAGGTGTAGCTGCCTGCTAAGGTCACTTGTGCTTACTTGGCACATCTAACAGTGAGCTCTGCTGGAGCCCAGGCAGCCTTGGGGCTGTGCTTACACAATGGTTGTACAGAGCTGAGCCATAATTACATTAAAGCCATTTAGTGGCTTCCCAGAGTGGGAGGAAGGGAGACATGGAGAAACCTGTCTACCATCAGATTCCAGGATAATTTGGTAATTTGTTATCAAAAGTGTGTTTGTAGCATTAGCATTTTTATGCAATTACTGGCATTATGTCCTTATGGCAGATAGTGTGTGCTCTCCTGTGTCGTTGTTGATGATCTACATTATGACAAAACTAGGCAGCCACTTCACTAAATATTTAAATAATGTTAAGGTAGAAAGCACAGCTGTTTCCTCTATTTAGAGAAAAGAAAAAAAAAAAAGGTCACAGGGCTTTTTCTATAGCCATGATAAATGACATTTCATGGTGGTTCCTCGGGAACAGAAAGTGAGGCTCCCACAGAGTAGAAGACCAGCTGCATGAAAAAAAGAGTCCAAATATTAACCACTGGACAGTGGCTGGGAAGCAGGTGGCAGAGGCTGTGGGTTATTTTTACACTTCATTTGCTGGTGTAGAGAATTAGAATAGTAACTAAAAGCTAATGATCCACGTGCAATGTTACATTTTCCTGCATTCTTTTTTAAATAGCCACTGGCATTAAAATAATATTAATGAAGATGTACATGCAATAGTAGTGTCAGGCTGGTGATGGAAATCAGTGTGTCAGGATTTGTGATTTACTGCTGACAGCGTTTGATACAGCAGCATTATATGAATGCATTATACTACCCACAACTGCATCAAAGAGTTGTGATAACCTTTGATATAGCTTTTTTTTTTCCCTCCACCTTAGTGAGGACTTACTAGTAGCTAGGAAAATGGTTTTGCATTGCCTCTGGTGTAACTTGTCCTAATCCTTGAATTTTACAGTCCTTTGAAAGTCAATGCAAGGAAAATAGGCTTCAACACATAAAGGGTTTATAGATTACTAAAACCCATATATAAGTAACACAGAAAAAATTCGTAAATTAACCTATTCTATTTGTTCCTTACAGGAAGAATATTATATTAGTAAATGAAGCAATTTAAAGAGGCTATTAAATCAATTTGATTCTGGTAATGCATGCACTGCTGCTACATCTGGGTTGCTTACATCAAGAAGTCACCAGGGATATTTTACTTTGAAGTGCAGCTGTATTTAAACTGTGTTTGCTAACAGCTGGCAATTTTATTGCATATTCTGATGTTTTGTTTATAAAAAAATACTCTCTTAGCCACAGTACACATAACCTAAGCAGTTATGGACTGGGATATATTTTAAATTCACTTTTATTAACTAGCATCAGCTATGTTTAGTATTGCAGAAGAAAAAAATTAAAAACTAGGCCAGTTTTTTGCTTCTTAGATCACCCTTTTTTATCTTTGTTACATCTAGGTTGTTATACATGATTTCAAATCAGAGTTTAATTTAGGGAAATCTATTCATATGAAGTTTTTCTATCGTATTATTAGAAAAATAAATGGTATGTGAGAACACACCACTTTTCACACATAGCCTGCTAGGAGTGTGGATTTGAATGCTCACTGTAATTACATGCATGCTTTCATGAATGTTTGACCAATGAAGACCTGCCACCGTAATTAAGACATTCATTACATAAAAATTGATTTGGTCTTAGACACAAATGCACCAAATTATGGTTTTTACACGAGGGACATTACAAAGGCATTTTTAGTTTGTTTCTCTTGTAAATGGTTTGCAGTGAGAGAAATGTGAGAACAGTAGTCCCAGTATGCCCTGAAGAAATACTTCTTGGGGCTTGAGAGAGAAAACAGCATAGGGCAAATTAGCTCTTTTGCCCTTGATGAGCCTCAGGATTATGACTTCCACTCCAAAGAAATGCTGATGTGTAGGATTAGGGTATAAAGGTAATATTTCAGTAACTATAAAGGTATTGTTAATAAAATTTCTCTCTCTGACAGTGAGTTCTTCAAAAGTTTTATCGGCTGAATTAGGTTTTGATTGGAAAATTCTATAGGCTCCAAATTCATAGAAATGCTTTGTGTGAGGAAGTGAGGAACTGTCTAGGTCTGTGGTTATGGGAAATACATTTCAGTTCCTGAAATGCTG